AAAAAAAAAAAAAAAAATTGCATTCAAAGTTTATTTCGGCACAGAATATATATATACGTTCAAACATCGCTATCCCGCAAGGATCCCGTATCCCGAAGCCCTAGACGTGTTTCTAAATGCCACGTTGCGCGCATGCGTAGATGCATAAATTTCCAGTCAACACAGAAACTTCCAAAAAGATGAATTTTTTCGGTGGAATAAAGTCCGTTTTAGGCAGCCCAGCGGCTGGAAATCAGCCTTCTCCTCACGAAACGGTTAGTATAGTTCCTCCTCTACTCCCTCTAGCCCTCTTTGTAGTAATCATGTTGAATTGAGCTTATTTTTTATGCGTTTTCGTTGATCAAAGGTCGAAAGACTCTGCGATAGAGTGTCGTCTTCAACGTTACTTGAAGATAGGAGAGATGCTGTAAGAGCTTTAAAATCCCTCTCAAAGGTAAARAACAAACTATTGAACCATAATTCTAACATATCCAGGTACAAAACAACATCAAAATACCCAGAATCAGAGCTCTTTTTGAAAAAATCAAAATTGTACATCCGACTCCAGTTGCAGACAGACAAAAATAATAATTTAAGATTCTGTATATTTGTATTATTCTAGATTATTTACGTTTATAAAGCTTTAAAACAAGTATTTAATTAGCAGGAGATGTGTTGAGAAAATTATTATCTCCTATGTGGGTTAAATAAACACTATCCTGTAGCTTGGGTACCAACAATATTGTATATAAGACATGGTATTAAAGCGAAATTTGTTTGTACCCAGGCTAGACCATAATGCATTGTGATCACTATATATTATTATCTCATAAATCTCCTATAACTAGGGTATACAATCACGTACTTTATGACCAGCCAACATGTGGAGCTTGATTACAGGGCTGTCAACTCTCCCGGATAAACTGGGAGTCTCCAGATTTTGGACCGTATCTCGCGGTCTCCATATTAGAGTCTCAAATCTCCCGGATAATCCCCGAAGCTGACCATTTCTTGTGAGACTTGACTTTCACAACCATAAAATTCCAATTATTTTGTGTTGTTTGTGTTATTTTACATTGCTAACAAAATCAAAACAATTCTCATAAACTGTTCTTGCAAGCAGGCCATTGTAATATAAGCGATAATCTGATTGGTCAGAAATAAACCAATCACATCGAATGTTACGAAGCAAAAGACGTCTTTTTGCACGCTTTTTTTGTCCCTTTCCTATATCAATTCTCCAGATTTGAATATCTCGGGGGTTGACAGCCCTGTGATTATCTCCCAACTGTCGGCCAATGCATGGTCAACACTTGGCCAACACATTGCCAATATACTGGCTGTGTTTTCGCTAGGACAATTTAAACTAGCTTAAATAAAACACCCAGAATAAGGCAAAGTTAAACTACCTAGCAAGATGGTTTAAATTGTCCTACGAAATAAATGGGCCAATCACAGAGTTATTCTTGAAAGGTGGTTGTCGGATTAAAACACCACCAGGAATTTTACGCAACTTAACATTTCCAGTGAAAACACAGCCACTGATTCCACAACACTTCTGCAACACCTATCYACAATCGTTTTGCATGTTTATGCATCCATCTATTTTACCATCTCCCAACTGTCAGCCAATGCATGGTCAACACTTGGCCAATGCATTGCCAATACTGATTCCCTAACACAACACCAATCTACGATTGTTTTGTATGTTTATGCATCGTTTCACCTATACTATAAATTCCTTGTTAAAAGCTAGAGTTATAAGCTCACTAGTTTGCTAACTCAAATATCCTTCAAGTTGATGGCATTCTGTATTGTGAGATTCAGAATGACATTCAATCCACCCTCCCCCACCTTCCCAACCCATTTAAAACCTTTTACAAATGAGTATTTAAACACAGGGCTTATAACTACAATACAATACAATACAAGTTTATTTGCTCATATTTCAAAATTTGTTACAAAATTGCCGAAGGAACATATAAAAACAATACAATTAGGATCTTACATGTTTATTCCAGTTCTAGAGGATTATACAGTGTACATGTAGGTCTACACAAATCATATCTTGACCTTTTAAAGCTCACAAAATAATATCATCATCAATTGTCTCACCCTTTGGGGATTCCATTTTGGTAATTCAATCTCATCTTTTATCATATTGTATGGTATTTCCAGAAATTCAGGCTGGAAGTTGGAACACAGTCGATGGAGATACTGATAGGTGTCCTACAGACTGAAAGGTAAGTCAACACACACACACAGACAAGGCTGCAAATATGTTTTTCTATAAGGCTGTTATATGTCAGATCAGGGACATGGGTTTTAAAAACCTGACATACAGYTAGTCTGGTCTGACAAAAGTTTCTGTCAATAATGCAACTGGGGGGGAGGGGGGAGCCAGGGGAAAAAACATGTTTACAGCTACAGGTATGTCATATGTCAGATCAGGGACAAGGGTTAACCTGACATAGAGCCAGTCTGGTTTGACAAAAGCTTCTGTCAATTATACAACCGGGGGGGAAGGGACCCAGGGAAAAAAACAGGTTTATGTCCTATGCGCCCATGGTAATTTTGTCAGGTCAAATAGCTGCAGAAAGAACAAGCAGACGCTACGTGAATTTGATTTAATAGACCTTATTYGTGGTGTGACAATGTTTTCCCAATTGAACGGGACAAACTTCTGGGGGAATGAAGAGCTATTGTTTTGCAACTCGTCAGGATATCATCATTATTCCTTTCGTATCCTTTGGGATACTCATGAATTTTTCGAAGAGTAAAAACAAAAGAAAATGAATCCCCTGGAAGTTCGTCACGCTGAATTGGGAAAACATTGTCACACCACGAATAAGGTCTATTGAATTAGATTTTTAAAAAGGAAGGAAAGCCAGAGAGCCCAGAGAAAAAATCCCAAAGCAAGGAGAGAACCAACAAACGACTCTACTGTACTGTATGATGCCAAGCCCAGGATTCAAACCTAGGTTGCATTGGTGAGGGGCAATACATTAGCAGCACACATCACTGGACCTTAATAATGAACCAATCAGTTACCAACCCATTTCCTTGTTTATGATAACTATTATTGATTTGGTAGAAACGACACAGAAATAGTTGGTATGGCATTGGAGACTCTCTGTAACATCATGTCCACAGATCCTGAGATGCAAGGTATGGTTGGTACAATGCAATCGTTTTTATCAAGGATTTTATATGTTGACTTTCACCATCCATTGTATAAATATAATATTTAAAGTTCTTCTGTACATCCTTCTTTCCTTCAATCTTTCCGCCCTCCCTCCCTTCCTTCCTTCCTTCCTTCCTTTCTCGCTCCCTTCTTTCCATTTCTTTCATCCTAGCATTTCTATCCACACTTGTTTCCTTCAACCGTTTTGCTTATATACGCTCGAATTCGTTCCTCCTTCCAACCCTTTAATGCAAATGCTTTACCTTTGGTAGCATACAATTCTTGCTGATTCTATCATTGGAGTCRAGGGTTTGTCCCCAAATGCACGAAGGAAAGAGAATATTGCTTGTAGTTCCAAGTGGTTTTGGACCAAAGTCAAAGGCTTTGTCATAATGAATTTTATGAAAGGAGCTCCAGATCCCATTGTCTATATAATACATGTAACCCTAAAGGAGTAAGGAAGCATAAATAAAAATTAGCAAACCACTTGAAAAGTTGGAACAACATACGCTGCACTGCGTGTCCACGTGCATCTCAGGAATTGTTGCTTGCAACGTTTGTACAGACCAATCCATTTGCACCGTGTGTTCACCGCAGGAACTGGTGCGAGCAACGTTTGTACAGACCAATCCATTTGCACCGTGTGTCCATCTCAGGAACTGTTGCTTGCAACGTTTGTACAGACCAATCCATTTGCACCGTGTGTCCACCGCAGGAACTGGTGCGAGCAACGTTTGTACAGACCAATCCATTTGCACCGTGTGTCCATCTCAGGAACTGTTGCTTGCAACGNCTTCCTTCCTTCCTTCCTTCCTTTCTTCCTTTATTTAAGTTACATAAAATTCAGTGAAATAAGTTGTTAGACTTTTATACAATTTTTATTTTCATGAACAAGCAATTCAAATCAGTGTTGTTTTTGTTTTTCATTTGCAGATGGACAAACACCAAATAAAAATGGACCAACACAGTCTGACTCAGACGTTGGCCTTCAGTTCACAGAAATCTTCATTAAAAATTCAGATAATGTAACTCTGCTGTTAGGAATACTAGAGGTATGGAGCTGCTTTCCTAAATAACCTGAATTGTTTTCCTCCTCAGACCCTCCCCACCCCTTGGAAATTTCAATCCCCCTCCATGGGAGAGGTATGGATATTTTCTGGTACTACACAATATATCCTCCTCAGACCCTCCCCACCCCTTGGAAATGCCAACTCTAATTTGTTTATTTTCCATTACAGGAATATGATTTTCATGTGCGATGGCCAACAGTCAAACTTCTTACCATGCTTCTCACAAACAAGCCGTAAGTTATTTAATGTTTTTCTCACTCGATGTTAAAATCAGCATGTGAGTTGTGTATATAATATTTGAGTGTAGTAAGGAGTGTGTATGGAGGATACACGGCCCCACAAGCTTCTAGCTTTAAGGCCTACCGTGTTTTTTATTTTATTATTTACTCTGATTCCCAGTCACATGCAACCAGCTGAGACCTAAATCACAAACAAAAATTGAGTTTTGGTGGACGTCAATCAAAAGAGTTTCTTAAACATGTCTAAGGATTCCGACTCTGAATTTCAAATGCTTAACTACAAAGCTATCGGTATTGACTTATCTGATCTTGAAGAAGCTCAAACCATAGTCATAGCACATAGCGATAGCTTTGCAGTCAAGCGTTTGAGATTCAGAGCTGGAAATCTGTGACTTTTTTGAGAAAATATACCCAGAGCAAGAAGTTCACGGCAACAAGAAGAATGAGATAAGGACAATGGTTTCAGCCCTGGTATACATTTAGAAACCAATAGGAAAGATAGTAATGATAAAAGGGTAAATTATGCACCGTGAAAAGATGAAAAAAAACTGACGTTTCAGATGCTAGTCCTTCATTGGAGTAAAAGAGGCAATAGAAAAGATAGGACCCTTTTGATTGATGTCCACCCAAATTCAATTTTTCATTTGTAATGAAGGTCTAGTTGGTTGTGTGTGGCTGGGAATCACAGTAATTTGATTTCAATAATCATAGAACATTTACCAACAGCTCTCTATTCTTGCAGGAACCTTCTCCAACAGTGCATTCTCATCAGTCCCATGGGTAAGATAAAGAAATTGTATGTGTCTTATTAAGAAGAGCTAACTAGCTAAAAACTAGTGTTAACTGTGTCRGTGTTTCTAATGAAACAGTAATGATAAAAGGGTAAATTTTACACCGTGAAAAAATGAAAAAACTTACTGAAGATTCGGGYGCTAGTCCTTCGTGTGTCTTATTAACTCGGGCCGGACAGAAAAATATTTGGCTTGGGGCCATGCCGTACAGGCAATGATTGTAAATATCTGTATTAATATTATTTAAAAATATCATTTGCCTTAGGCTCAGTGAATATAAGGGATATTATTTACTGGGACGCTAGTCTTTGAGCAGCGAGGTAAAATAATATTCCTAGATATTTACTTTGCCCTGAGGCTTTTAATTGTTTTATTATTTTTAGCACAAGTGAATATGATAAATTATGGAGAGAGAATTTAAAAAAAAAGTTTTATTACTTCTGCAAGCAGTACAGATCAACAAACAAGCGTACGCATAAGACTTAAATTGTGACCAATGAGCGAGCTGGATTTATTATATTCACTTGTGTAATATACTGTACTAATATCAATTATTATAATGATAATAATATATATAATATGATATAATTATTTGAATACAAAACAAAATTCATATGTACATAATAAAACTAAAAAAGAGTATTTATATAGCGCATCCTGAGAGCCTCGATGCGCTTTACAATAAGATAATTAAAAATAAAATTAATATCTATAAATATGTACTAATAATGAGAAATATATACACACACAAGAGCATACACACATAATAAGCACATAAAAACATGTATATACATGCGCATACACAATACATAATGCTGTTAATAAAAACGTTGGCCAGCCACTTGGCCTCAGACGTGATATGACACGTCCCATGTTTGACATTCTTGTTTGTCCTCGGCTTATGACAGGTGTATCTAGACTAATGGACCTTCTGTCAGACAGTAGAGAGATTATAAGAAATGAGGTGAGTAAGCTGCAGTCCAGCACAGTCTTCTTTAGAAAATAACTATTATTGCATCCTGATTGGTTGAGTGTGTGCTTATCTTGAGAGCACGCAACGTGTCTGCATGCTCTTTATTTTGTCATTCCTATCCAAAATACCAGCTATTCTAGTTTGTATTTTCATAAAAGAAACATAAGGCTCGTTTGCTGTGAACTGTGTGGAGTTATAAAGTGCTTGGGGATTGGCAGAACACTCGAGAAGTGTTGAGGAACACTGCATTACATGTCATGCTTCTCTTGTCTTCATTGTCTTGCGTTGTGCACAAAATTTTCTATTTCTTTATTCATCTCCACCTACGGCAGTCCAATACCTTGTTGTTCTAAAACGTTTCTTGTTTCTTCTATATAAGAAATTCAAAGCTGGCCATTTTATTTATTCACTCACTCACTCACTCACTCACGCACTCACTCACTCACTCACTCACTCACTCACTCACTCACTTAGTTATTTATTTATTTATTTATTTCACAGGGTCTTTTGCTGCTGATTCAGCTCACAAGATCAAATGCTGCCATTCAGGTGAGTTACACCACATAAAATGGCAATTAGCGAAAGGGCTAATTTATCACTGATAACAACAACAACATCAACAACAACAACCACAACRACAATAATAATAACATTTTWAAAAAAAATAACTTACAAATTTCTTTGCGCTGATTGGTTATTTTTTATCATCAATAAGAGGACAGACAGATAAAGCTGACATCAACGAGCACGCGCTCTTTCTGTTGGTTGTTTTGATCGCTAAAAATGAGAAGTTTTTATCGTTTTTGTTATTGTAAGAAATAGACATCAGTTTTTTATGTGTCTGTCCTCTTATTGACAATAAATTTCGTCATCGCATTGTCAAAGTAGTATGCAGATCCATTCGGTTCGTGGATCCACAATACTTTGATAGTGTGATGATGCAATTTATCATCAATAAGAGGACAGACACATAAAAAACTGATGTCTAGTTGTGAAATTTATCCTTATAAAAATTCCTGATCAGCTGGACATAAAACAGCTGGTATACTGGTGATCGGCAATAGCTACTGTCATGTGTCTTTCACACTAGCATGTCCATTTTTCTCCCTCCCCCCATCCCACTCCCCATGATCACCACACTGGACTCTTCACTAACCACCCCACCCTCGACAGTCACCAGCTTTAGAAATATCCACCCCGGTCTAGATTTGTCAATGATCCCTTATATTCTTTTACCCCAAATCTCCAGCTCTGTTTGATTGCTAATGAAATCTTGAATCCAATCTTCACTTCAGAAAATTGTTGCATTTGAGAATGCTTTTGACAGACTATTAGAAATCATAGCAGAAGAGGGCTACAGCGATGGAGGTAAACCTGAAAAAACAAACTCTATAATAGGCTGTAATTGYTGTTTTTGATTGAAAATGGACTCTGGAGTTTTCTCATTGTAGATCACTTGTTCTTCCCTTGAGAATAATATTCTTTGTTTGAATTGTATCCATATTTTTCTGTGTTTCTTGGAAAGTCTTGTTACTACTTTGATTAGAAACTACTTCAATGATGCGGCGGATAATCTTGAATCACAAGGCATTGTGTGTAATCCAGGGGACAAATATACAAAGCTTTGTTACAGTAATGATGAAGAAATAAATTTTTAAAAATGGACAGTTCCACAACTGAGCAAATTATCAAAAAGATGATTTGTGGGGTCGTCATTTATAAGTTTTTTTGAATATGTCTCAAATTAATGGGTTTTTGTTTGTATTTAGCAAATTATTGTAGTAAAGAGAGAAAAAAGTTAATATAGTGAAATTTCTTACTCCATGCATAGGGCCATTTCATTTTCATTAAGTTCTAATTATGATAATTTTCCCTTTTTCCCCTTGAACATTCTGTTAGGTATCGTCGTTGAAGACTGCCTTCATTTGATGAATAATCTTCTGAAAGATAATGTTTCTAACCAGAATTTCTTTAGAGAAGGAAGGTAAGAAGTATACATGTAGGAAAATGCACAATCTCGAGTACAATTTGGAATTTATAGGTAATAGGTA